GACTTTGATTGTTTTACTATGATACATGTATTTATCTATCTACCTATCTATCTATCTATCTAATTATCAATCTATCTATCTATCTATCTATCTATCTATCTATGAATTAACTATCGCCCGTTTTCCCTCTCTTCCTTCCTCCTAATATATATATGTATATTTATATATATAATATAAACACCGGACCCACTACTGTGCTTGATTGTCTTAACGCGATTCTCTTTTTGTCTGTTCCTTGACAGGTCACTTATGACAACAAAAAATGACACCGACGACGAACGACGACGACGAACGACGACAAAATTGACGTGCTTGTCTTTTTTTTTATTATATTTATATTAACTTTCTAATTATATTTTAAATATATAAATATTATTATATATTATTATTTTTAATTTTTTTAATTTTATACTTCAAAATTTTCTTCCTTAATGCGAATAATTTTTTCATTTAAAACTTACACTTTTTATTCCCCTCATTTTTAAAATTATCCTACGTTAGATGAGAGAAAAAGACAGAAAGAAAAAGAGAGAGAGAGAGAGAGAGAGAGAGAAAGGGAGACGTAGAAGAATTTTTTTTTTACACGTACAAAGTGAGAAAGAGAGAAAGAAGAGAGAGACAGAGAGGAAAAAAGAAGATAATATATTTTATTTTTTTGTTTTTGTTTTTTAATTACACACACACTTTCTCTCTCTTACCTGGATACATCAGACTTCCGAACGACCTTTAATTATTATATCTCTTATCGTGAATAAAAGAGATAAGACAAAATTTTTAAATATTTGCAATTATTCACAGACAATTTTATTTAAATAAAAATATTATTATTTATTTACGAATAAATTAAGAGAGGAAGAGGTGTGTGTATCGGGGAGATTCCCTTTTCAAAATCTCGCGTCTTTTTTTATTATTATCATTATTGTTCTTTATTTTTCATTTAATTAATTATCTTCAAACATCCTATCTTCTCAACATCTCGTAGAAATAATTCAACGATAATGATCACGAGATTAATTTTTCCTAATTTCTTTCTTTATATATTCACAAATATATATACATATATATATGAATACATATATATATATRTGTTTTTTATTTTATATTTTTTTGTTTATTTTCTCGATTTATTTATTTGTTCATCGAGAAACAAATAGTAATCGTTAATTACGTGTCGTGAAAAATCTTTCCAACGAAGAACAATTAATTAGAAGAAGAAGAAGAAGAAGAAGAAGAAGATGATGATGACGATGATGACGATGATGACGAAGACGATGTGACCATTTATTTAAAGCAGCAACAGCATTACAAAAAAAAAAATTTAACAACAGCAGCAACAGTCGAATAAAGGGTTAGTTAACCCCCTTGCTTTTTTTTATTTCTTTTTCTTCGATGCCACCACCACGTTCGTCGTCTTTTGGCGAGTTCCCTTTCCTCCTCCTCCTCCTCCTTCTCCTCCTCGTTCTCTCCAACACTAGGTTAGCGAACAACAACACACACACACAGCACGCGCACGCACGCACGCACGCACGCACGTTAGAACGATAGATCGAACACGATGTGATAGAAATATATATATGTATATATATATATAGAACAACAACCAAGCGAGGGGTGGTATCTGGCTGGCGGGTGGTGGTGGTTTCGGTCGAGGGTTGACACCAACGAGTCCTCCTCGCGAATATTTTTTCCCGCGACTATATATTTTTTATTAATCTATTTTATTATTGTTGTTGTTGTTATATTTCTTTTATTTTTTCTTTCTCTTCTAACGTGATTGATATTAAAGAAGGAAATATATAGAGAAAGAGAAAAAGAGAGAAAAAGATATATATATATAAAGAATTATAAAGAGATGTGTGTATGCGTGTTATTGAGAATTAGAAATAGAGAAGAGAGTAAGATACAGAATGAGAAAGAGACAGAGAGAGAGAGAGAGAGAGAGAGGGTTGTCCTAGTTCGAATCACGTGGTCTCGTGTGCACGTTCCTTTCCTCTTGTTTCAAAGACGTACGATGACGAAATTTGATGTCGACGAAAACGATGGTGGTGATGGTAATAGTGATATGTTGATATGGTGGTGGCGATGGTGGTGGTGACAGTGACGATGACTATGACGAGGACGATGACGAGGACGATGACGATGAAGATGCAACACACAGCTTCTTGTGACTCGTCTTCTATTTATCGTTTTAATTACGATTAATAGTAAACGTCGTCCAGATTTATTTTATGACGCGTGTATTGTCACGCAAATAACACAAGGGGGTTGTTGATTTGTTGGATGAGGCCTGTGTTTGTTTGTTGCGTTGGAAAGATGCGAATAACTTTTTGGCCCGTTTTCTTCTCTCTTCGTGGATGACAATTAGATCGATAGAAAGAAAAAAGAAAGTATAGAGTTTGGGTATTGTGATGTTTTGTTTTTTTTAATTAGAACTTGTGTAGACGTATAGAGAAAGAGATAAACAAACAAGTTTATACGTTTTATTTGTAGAACGAAATAATAATAATAAAAAAAAAGATAGAGAAAAAAGACAAAAAAATAAATAAAAAGAATTAGAAAAAAAAAATAGATAATTCGTATGTGTGTTATAAGTAGATTGATTACTTTGTACGTGTACGTGGTATGCGTGCGTGCGTGCGTGCGTGCGCGTATGTGATGTAAAGTAAAAAAGGGGTTGTTATAAAGATAAAGATGAATAGAAAAAAGAGAAAAAGAGAGAAAGAGAAAGAGAGGAAGAGAGGGAAAGAAAAGAGAAAGAGAGAGAGAGAAAGAGAAACAGATTGTGTGCGTGTGCGTGTACGTGAGAGAAACTCGAAGGCGGAACGATTAAAAAGCGTCCTACTCGATCGCCTAGCTTGACACAACTGAGGAGAGCCTCTCTCTCCGGTGGTGGTGCGAGCACCTCCACCAACCACCACCACCAGTAGCAGCACCACCGCCACCACCACCACCAACCAGCACCAGCACCACCACCACCACCACCATCAACCCAGCACCTCCTCCGCCATCACCACCGCCGCAGTCGACGTTGAATCGCATACCCGATATTATAACGCGGCCTTTCAAACGCGATCCTTGCGCTATCCCCTCCATCATGGACTAACCAAAGCCAATCGGTCGCGTGCTTGCTCACGAAGATAACCGAACTCTTACGAGACTGCGCGAATTTTGTGCGCGCGCATACGACGAATTTCCTTCGGCCACGCGCGCTTCGCTATAACCAAGCTACCTTATTCGTCGTTCAACCTAACCACCCCCATTCCACCCCCCAACCCTACTTCTCCAAAATGTGAAATACTCTTGCCCTTTCTCACCACCACCACCACCACCACCATCACCACCACCACTCGTTGCAGCTACCCACTTCTACCTTCCTTCCTTCCTTCCTATCTCTCTCTCTCTCTCTCTCTCTCTCTTTTACTACCCCTACTACTATTCCCCGTTAAGTTAGACATGTATGTATTATGTATGTATGTATATGCAATATACATATGCGCGCGTCTACGTATTTCGCGCTAGCTTTGCGGTGAAACTCGCGCGACCATCTCCTCCTCCTCCTCCTAACCATCCTCCCCCCAACCCTCCATCTACACCCCCTTTTCTCGCTACTACCCTCTACCGTACCCTACACAACACTCGGATTGACTACTGAAACATGTAGGCCGTGAGTACCGGCAAAAGGCCGACGTGCTGTTTCAATGGATTGACTTTGTTTTTAACCCTCCCCCTTCCATCCACGGTCTATGATTCGTGAAATTATGATTGGTGTATTTTCTTTTTTTTTTCTTTTATTTATGTTTCGATTGATAATCTCTAGAACTCGATTTACAGTTTTTAAAATGGTTTTATAAATATATCTATCTATTGGATAATCAGATAAGAAGAGAGGATGACGCGTGTGAGTTAGGGGGTGGGAGGAAAAGGGGATGAAAATGGATCCCACTCGAATCGTTGATTTTTCCACTCGATTTGGCAACTTGAGAGAAAATAGAGAGAATTAGAGAAATGAGAGAGTAAAAGAGAGAGGAAGATTGCCGTTCGTTTGACGAGAACTCTTCAGAAGGAGTTCGGAGTGTTTGTACGAGATGGAGATTACTGTTCTAAAAGATGGATAGAGACAGATAGAAGAAAGAGAAAGAGAGAAAGGACGAAGGATAAAGGGGTAGTTTGTGAGCTAAAAGAGGGATAGGTAGGTAGGTGGTAGGTGGTAAGGTTGGTAGTAACTGGTAGACGAGATTTCAGTGTAATCACCTCGTTCGAACTCTGACGTTTGAGTGGAAATAATAGAAGGAACACCTTTTCAAGAGAGGAGGACCTTCGTCCTTGTTCTTCGAACACTTGATTGCACGTTCGGTCGTTTCAGTGGTTAGCGAAAATTGGTCCTGGGTATGCTCAAAGAAAATATTTCTTTCTCTTTCTCTCTATACATATATATATAAATCATTTTTTCTTCTTTCACTGAGGGAACAAAAAAAAAATAGGAAAAATTTTGTTGACTAAGAACATTGATATAGTCCATTTATAAAAAAGATTCCCATAAAAGTATATATAATACCCCATATAAGTATGTACGTACGTAAGTAATCTTTGAATAGTAAATTAAATGTAAAGTCCCGAAAAAAAAGAAACAGAAAAGTAGTAAGATTTAATGGAAATATGAATTTTTCAAAGGGATCACAACCCTTACGAGAAAGGATTTCCACGTTTATCCAGAAAACATATAGGATATAAGGTGAAAAGGAGAAAGAGGAGTAGGGAGAAGAATGTAATAATCCGTATGGGAAAAGGTTACTACGTTCTCTTAAAATTAAAGTAAGGAGAATATGAGAGAATAGTTCGTTCCTAGTAACAAAATTCTAATCAACCCTTTTAAAAGGATTCTATCTCATTAAATCGAATCATTCAGTCATTAATATCTGTCTCTTTCAAGATTTAACAAGGGGGTGTTCGTTTTTTTCGTAAAACAGTGAAACAAGTCAAGCATTAATCAGACGACTCACCCGCGGAATTCGTAGCGGCGAGGTGCGGATGAACGCCAAGTTGGCCGGGATTCTTACCTGTAACAAAAATAAGAAAACAATAAGTTTATTTATGAAGAAAATGATTGAATCGTTGGTATATTCAAACTGGTGGTATACTCAAAATGTAATCATTAAGAAATAAGAATAAGAAGAAGGGACACACACACACATAACGTAGAAGAGACTACGAAAATGAAAATGAATAAGAAGAAGAGGAAAAGGAATAAGAAGGAAGATGAAAACGAAGAAGAAGAAGAAGAAGAAGAAGAAGGTCGGTTGGTCGTTGAAGAAAGATTCGTTGAAATTAATCGACGCTAATTTCCGTCCATTTGCCAAATACCTAAGGAAACTTTCGACAGAAATTCTCGAGTTACTACTACAAATATAACTAACTACTACTACTTCAAGGGAGTGTAAAAGGGAACTTTCTCTTTCTCTCTCTAGGAGTATCCAACTATCAGAGAAAGATGACGACCTCTCTCATTCTCCTCCCATTCTCTTGAAAACGAATAAGAAGGGAGGGGAGAGGGTTTGCTAGAGGGTTGGTTGGCTGACTAAAGAGAGAAACGCAGATTGCTACAAACCTGGTCTAATATAGCGTTAATAACGTGCTAATAACGTTCCTAGCACACGCGTCTCGATTCGTTTGCACACGTGCGACGAGCTTATACGAATCTAGTTAGAAGGAACTAAAGAAAGAGAGAGAGAGAGAGAGAGAGAGAGAGAGAGAAAGCGAGTAAGTGCAAACGAAATCGCGAAACGTTAGTATGATCGTTAATCTTACCATGCCGACGACTTAATACGTTGGGCAAACCATTTTCGTAGAAGTATAAGAGAGTAAAGTGTGAGAAAGAAAGATAGTAATAGATAGATAGATAGATAGAGAGAGAAGTTAGTATTCTCGATCCCTTTCCCACCTTAAGAACCCAACCCTAAGTCCCTGAGAAATTATTCGGTGGGGGTAAGCAGTATGCAGATCGCGAAATCGTGGCGTACGTTAGGGATTAACTCGAGGGGTGGTTTCAACTCTCACCAACACCACCATCATCATCCCCCTCGTTGATTTATCCCTACTCTAACGTATCTAACCACCACTACTACTAACACTTACACTACTACTAAAATACTATCATCATAACCAAGCTATACCTTTGGATGTCCCAGAAACAATTCAACCATTAAACGGAATCTGCGAAAGATGTGTGTGTGTGTACGTCCCTTCTTCATCAAAATTCCATACACGTTTATATTTCATAGTCATCGAAAAGTAAAAAAGTTCGAGTTAACATTGGTGTGTTACGTTTGTTAAACACGTTTCTAATTCTAACTAATATTACGGAATTATTTGATACACTTTATCATGAAAACGAGGAATGATGTAGTAACACGTGAACGCTCGCGCATTTCCACCTCCTCCTCATCAACTCCCGTCCTCTAGAAATTCCTCCAGCTCTCTCTCTCTCTCTCTCTCTGTATGTCGTATATGTCGATAATAATCGGTTCTCGCAAATAGGCCGATGCGTCGAACGATCGACGTATGTGCCCGTTGGCCACCGTAAATAGATTTTCAACTGGCGTATAAACGTATGACCGCAATAATGATTCGTTCAAACAAAATTATGCGTGCCCGATTCCCCGTGAATCAAATCGTTTACAATTTCGACTACTATTCTCACTCCAAGCACATGCACACACTCACTCTCTCTCTCTCTCTTTCTATACACTTCTAAACATGATTTAGTCTACTATATGAAGTTCTCTTTAATAAACAATGAATAATTACAATAATAATTGTAATAATAATAATAATAATAATGATAATTATAATAATGATAATTTAATAGTTATAATAATAAATTTAACAAAAAATATACGAGTATGAGTAATTATTATTACTATTTGCAATACACTTTCTAATTTATAAATGTAATTTATTTTATTTTAAAATAAAAATAATAAAAAGATACAATTAGGATAAATTATAATAAGAAAATATAATAATAAAGATAACTATCTATTTTATACACGTAATTTATTTTATTATAAAACATAAATAAATAAACCAAATAATAATAGTACTAATAATAAAAAATAAAATAAAATTTCTATATAAAAATAGGGTTCTGCCAAGTTCTTTTTTTTTTCTAAATTTTCTCGAAGACACCCAAAACAAAGTTGGAAAAAGAAAGTGTGAAAGAAAGAGAAAGAGAGAGAGGGAAACATAGAAACAGTCAAAGAAGATAAAAAGAGAAAAGGAAAGAAGCCGATCCTGTAGATTTCAGTTACGTCTAGCGGGAAGCCAATAGTTAGGCTGTCCAAGGTAATAGGGGTTGATACATGGCTCCCAAGACACAGCTCGGGGTCCCTTCTCGATATGCCATTCTTCCTGCGTCTTTCTTACCCTTACCCTTACCCCAAAAAACCACCTCCCACGAAGAAACCCTTGCAACAACAACAACCACCTATCCTACCCCTCTTCCCCCTTATAAAACCCCCACCATACTCTGTCACTATCTTTCTCAGACCCTTCAGGAGTCACTCTTTATTTATTTAAAGCCCCGAGCGACCAACGACCGCTTACAACCACCCCCACATCCCCTCCCCATTCTCCTTTCGACCAAAAACCGACCGTTTCAACACACACATACACACCCCACCTTCTACCAGTCTTTTCTTTACTCTTATCTTCTTTCCTTTTCTATTCTTTTCCAATGGGATTCGTCGAGTCGTACGAGAAAAGAGAATTTTCTCTCGTGCCTT